GCTACTTGGAAGGTTGAGGCGGGAGGATCGCCGGAGCCCAGCAGGTCGAGGCTGCGGTGGTCGGGAGCAGCCACTGCACTCCAGTCTGGGTGGCAGAGTGAGCCTCCAACTCAAAAAAAAAAAAAAAAAAAATTAGCTCAAGTATAATGACACAAATTATAAATTGAATCTAAAAGGAAGAATAAACTTATGTATGACTAGATCATGTAGGTGAAATATAACCCAGAATAGAAACAAGCTGTTTTGTCAATATTGATATTTGAAAGATGTTCAGTCAGGATTATTTTATTTATTTACTTATTTTTTAAACTTTTTACATATGATATGTTTTGTTTTGTTTTGTTTTGTTTTGAGTTGGAGTCTCCCTCTGTCGCCCAGACTGGAGTGCAGCGGCCGCTCCCGGCCACCGCAGCCTCGACCTGCGGGCTCCGGCGATCCTTCCGCCTCAGCCTTCCAGGTAGCCGGAATTACAGGCACGCGCTACCACACCCGGCTGATTTTTTGATTTATTGTAGAGATGAGGTCTTGCTGCCCAGGCGGGTCTCGAACCCGTGGGCTCAGGCAATTCACTCACCTCGGCCTCCCAGAGCGCTGGGATTACAGGCTGAGCCACCGAGCCCAGCCACATATGATATGTTTTAAGCTCATTGTTCGTATTTTGAATTTAAATTTTTTATTTTGTTTTTTATCTCTTAGGATGTGGGATACAAATTAAGAATATAAGCATCCATCATACAGGTGAAGTTTGGGCCTCCCATTGAGCCTCACTTTATCTGGTTTGGGATCAGGTGCCCTTATTGATATTATGTGCTCACCTCCTCCCTCCTTCCCCTGGCAGTGTCCCGCTAGTGCCAATCCCTTTCTTGTAGTATTATGATAATTAATTGCTCAAGGTCCGCTAATGAGTGAGAACATATGGTACTCAGTTATTTGTTTCTGTGATAGATGACTAAGCATAATAGACTTTAAATCCATCCAAATAGCTGTAAAGTTCATAATTGTGTCCTTTATGGCTGTGTAATATTCCATCATGTATATGTACCACATTTTTTTTATCCAGTCCTCTTACAATGGGCAGCACGGTAGGTTCCATGTTTTTGCTATTATGAATAGTGCTGCAATAAACATGCATGTGCCGGTATCTTTTTTGTAGAATGATTTGAGTTCCTCCGGGTATATTACCAGTAGGGGGATTGCTGGATTGTATGGAAGGTCGATTTTTAGATCTTTTAGGAATCGCCACACTGTTTTCCACAGAGGTTGTACTAATTTACACTGCCAACAACAGTATAGAAGCATTTTGTTTTCTCCGCATCCTCTTTAGCATCTTTTTTTTTTTTTTTGAGTTATTGATGATGGCCATCCTGACTGGAGTAAGGTGGTATCTCAGTGTGGTTTTGATTTGCATTTCTTTGATGACTAGTGAGGCTAAGCATTTTTTCATGTATCTGTTGACTGGTCATATGTCTTCTTTTGAGAAGTGTCTGTTCATATCTTTTGCCCACTTTGTATAGGACTGTTTGGTTTTTTCCTTTTGTCATGTTTGTCCTTTTGTCATGTTTGAGTTCCACATATTAATATATCCTGGATGTTAGGCCTTTGTCAGATATACAGCTGGCAATTTTTTTTTTCCATTCTATGGGCTATCTCCCCACTCTATTGATAGTTTATTTTGCTTTGCAGAAGCATTTCAGTTTGATGAGGTCTCACGTGACTATCTTATATTTTATGGCATGGACTTTGGGGGTTTTGATCAGGAATTGATTGCTTATTCCAATTTCCATAAGAGTGTCTTTTGCATTTTCTAAGGTATAGTTTGAGGTTTTACATTTAGATCTTTGATCCAATTAGAGTTTTTGTTGTTGTTGTTTTTTTCTTTTTTGGTATGGTGATAGGTAGGGGTCCTATTTCATTCTTCTGCATGTAGTCAGCCAGTTTTCCCAGCACCGTTAACTGAATAGATTCTCCTCTCACCAGTTGTTGATGGTGGAGGCTTTGTTGAAGATGAGATAGTTGAGAAATTGAGGTTTTGCTTCCAGAATCTCCAATCTGTCCCATTGGTCTGTATGCCTGTTCTTGTACCAATACCAGGCTGTTTTGATTATTGTAACCTTCTAGTAGAGTTTAAAGTCTGGCAGTATCATACCTCCCACTTTGTTTCTTTTGCTGAGGATTGTTTTAGCTATTCGTGGTCATTTATGTTTCCATATGAATTTCTGTATTGTTGTTTCCAGGTCTGAGAAGAATGATGTTAGTAATTTAATGGGTATTGTGTTGAATCTGTAGATTGCTTCTGGTAGGATAAATATCTTAACTATGTTGATTCTTCCAATCCATGAGCCTGGAATATTTTTCCATTTGTTTGTGTCATCTTTTATTTATTTGCACAGTGTTCTGTAGTTTTCATTGTAAAGGTCTTTCGCTTATCTGGTTAGGAAGATGCCAAGGTATTTCATTTTTCTTGTGGCTATTGTGAATGGGATTGTGTTTTTTAGTTGTTTCTCTGCCTGTTGGTTGTTGGTGTATAAGAATGCAACTGTGTTTTGCACATTTATTTTATACCCTGAGAATTTGCCAAAGTCGTTTATCAGTGCAAGCAGATTTTTGACAAGTTCTCTTGGGTTTTCGAGGTATGGGATCATATCATCAACAGAGAGGGATAGCTTAGCTTCCTCTTTGGATACTCCTCTTGTCTGATTGCTCTAGCTAGGACTTCCTACACTATGTTGAATAGGAGGGGTGAGAGTGGGCAGCCGTGTCTTGTTCCAATTTTCAGGGGAAATGCTTCCAATTTCAGTTTGTTTAGTAATATGTTAGCTGTGGGTTTATTCTAGATGGCTCTTACTATTTGAAGTATGTTCCCTCTATACCTAAGTGTTCGAGGGTTTTTATTAAGAAGGGATGCAGGTTCTTGTTGAAATTTTTTCTGTGTCTAATGATATAATAATGTGGTTCTTGTTTTTATATCTGTTGATGTATTGAATTATATTTATGGTCGTGTGCATGTTGAACCAGCCCTGCATCCTGAAGGTAAAGCCTACTTGGTCATGGATATTTTTTGAGATGTGTGTTGGATCTGATTTCTAGAATCTTTTGGTGAATTTTTGCATCTGTGTTCATGAGGGATATTGACCTGTAGTTCTCTTTCTTTGTTGAGTCTTTACCTGCTTTAGGTATCAGTGTGATGTTAGCTTCATAAAATGATGTGGAGAGAGTTCCATCTTTCTTGATAGCCTAGAATACTTTTAATAGTATTGGTATCATCTCTCCCTTGTATGTTCTGTGGAATTCCACTGGAAAGCCATCTGGTCCAGGGCTTGTTTTTTGTAGATAATTTTCTTATGACAGAGTCAGTTTTCTGGGTTGTTATTGGTCTATTTAGGGTCTCCATTTCTTCTTGTTTCAACCTTGGTAGGTTGTGTGATATCACAAAGTTCTCCATTTTATTTAGGTTTGCAAGTTTGTTTCCATACAGGTATATATAGTAATCTCTGATCATCTTTTGTACATCTTCAGGATCAGTTGTGGCTTGATCTTTTGTGTTTCTAACTGTTTATTTGAGTTTTTTCTCTCTTTTTCTTGGCTAGTGGTCCATTAATCTTGTTTATCCTTTCAGAGAACCGGCTTTTTGTTTCATTGGTTTTTTTCTATGATATTTTTGTCTTCTATGTCCCACA